TGGAGCAGGGAGCCCGATGCGGGGCTCGATCCCAGGACCCTGGGATCATGACCTGAGCCGAAGGCAGACGCTTAACGACTGAGCCACCCAGGTGCCCCTGAAAGGCTAATTTTAGATGGTTTGTCTGACATAATTTCCTGTCTGAGTTTCCTGAAGTTCGGATGAGAGAATAGTTACTGAGTGTGGAGTTATCATCGTTGAAATGGACAACGGAGACTCAAGCATTTTTGAGTTTTTATCTCAATGGAGGCTCCGGAAACCCTTACAGAGGGCCTCCTCCCCCACCCTGAGAACTGATATTCACTCAGTTGTGAGGTTGTCTATGCAGGAGTGCAAGATCTCCTGAAAAACACATTCAAGTGAGGGCTCTGCCTGGGGCAGGGGCAGTGGGCAAGGCTCCTAGGATTTGGGAGCTTTGTGAAAAGCCAGATTGACAGAAAATAACCTGTGAATGTCTCTTTTTCAGGTGATGCAACTGTGAAAAAGAAACCCGCCCCCAAGACACCTCCGAAGGCAGGTAATTGGCCACCAGGAGCATTTGGGGGCAAGAGTCATCTGCCATGAGGGGTTTTTCCTTTGCCCAGCTAGACTGAGCACTGGTATAGGGTCCCACGAGACCACCACTGCCCCTCCCTGATTCAAGCTCTGCATTATTCAGACCAAACTTTCCCCAAGAGCCTCTGCACAGCCTAGTACCCTACCCTCTCTCACTACTTGTCTTTTCTCCTGCTTCCCCTGTAGTGTCCCTAGCTGTAGGGACATCATATGGCATCACACAGTATGAGTGACTTTCCTATCCCTTCTGTGAAATTCTGCCTAACCCTCTGCCCTCCACGCTGCCATTTAAGGAGGTGATCCAGTCTGTGCTGTCTTAATGCTCTATTCTGTATGTCCTTGTCATATAGAGCCTTGTCTGTTTCCCAGTGAAAGACATTTGAGGACATGAACCCTATTGAACCTGTCAGCCAGGGTAACCTGATGGTTCGAAGGCAAGGTGCTGCTTAATTAATAAAGGAGTTAGCAGGGGGCACCTGGGTGGCTCAGTTGGTTAAGCGTCTGCCTTCAACTCAGGTCATGATCTCAGGGTCCTGGGATCAAGCTCCCTGGGTGTCGGGCTCCCTGCTCAGCGGGGAGCCTGCTTCTCCTACATCTTCTGCTGTTCCCCCTGCTTGTGCTCTCTGACTCTCTCGCTCTCTCTTGCTTGCTCTCTCTCTCTGTCAAATAAATAAAATCATTTAAAAAATTAAAGGAGTTAGCAGGTAGATTAAAAAATTTAGGGTAAGATGCAAATTCCAGAGCAATTGACACATGGAAAATTATGCCATGTAAATTGTGTGGGCCACTTTGGAAGAATCCAAATAAAGACATGAACCAACCTAGCAGGCCCATGAGATTAGACATTCTGGAGCAGTGGCCGCTGTCCTCAGTGTTACCCTGAAGGCTCTAGAAGGCGAGAGAGGAACAGACCAGTGTGGACAGCAGCACTGAGTGAGATCAGTGTGTCCGAGGCTCCTTCCTCATTGCTCACTTTGTCACTTGTCCTCTCTCAGCCATGCCCCCTCAGATCATCCAGTTTCCTGAGGACCAAAAGGTGCGCGCGGGAGAGTCCGTGGAGCTGTTTGGTAAAGTGGCAGGCACCCAGCCCGTCACCTGTACTTGGATGAAGTTCCGAAAGCAGGTCAGTGAGGGAGGGAGTGGCCTGAGAATGACCCTCCCAGCCCCTGGGCCGAAGGGGATGAGAAATGCTGTCCTGGCAGCAGCAGCATTTTGATCAGCCGGGCCTTAGAAATGGGAGGGGAGGGCCCTCCCCCACCTGTCCCCACCCCCCACATCTGCGGTGTTAATAACCTTTGCTTCTGAATCTACCATTAATACCTGCTTTACAGACCATCTGTGTGACAGAGAACAGTATGAAGGAAAAAAAGGAAACCACGCCTGCCCCCCACCTGATTTTGATATTTTGGTCTAGAATTCTACTCAGAGTCAGGAAAATAGAACCAGTGACCTAAAGGACCTCTCAGATCCTGCGAGCCTTCTGTGATTCTGGGCTAGCCCACTGAATCCTATCTGTGGTAACAACTTCAACTTACCACGTGCTGAAGGGATAAAAGTGAATCCGAGTATTTGGATACGTAAATTGTACATTAAATAGAACCTTGGCTTACTGGCCCAGAAATATACCATTTTTAATAATGATCCTATGAAAGAAATGTCTGACTTTCTGAACAACCAGCTTAAAGGGACATGGGGAGCCCACCCGTTCCACTGAGCCCATATTGGTAATGTGTGCCTCTTACATGTGATCGACAAAGGTCCCAGACGGTGGCTGGCACTGAATCAGGAACTTTGCAGAGGATGTGAAGATTTCTTTTGAGTTCTCTGCTGTTCTATTTCCAAACCATTCAAATTGTCCTAAGGCCCAGATGGGAGGCTAGTACCAGGGAGGAATGGAGGACTGGTCTCAAAAGATGAAGCTGAGAAGCCTGCCTTATCGTCCCAAAGGATGCTTGCTCTGTGCTCTGTCTGGCCTGGTGGTGTCTGAAGGAAGATGTAATCTCTCCCTTTTCAGAGACATTTGGCCAGGTCCCCTTTGGGGACAAAAGAACTTCCTCTGGTGATGGATATGTTCTGTATCCATTATCCAATATGGTAGCCACCACCATATGTGGCTACTGAGCACTTGAAGTGTGACTAGTACAATCAATTAAATTGTAATTAACAAAAATCGTTATAACAGCTTTGTTATATACACCATAACATTCAGACACCATTAACTTTGACCTTTTAACGTGTACAATTCAGTGGTTTTCAATATATTCACCAGTTGTGTAACCAAAACAATGATCTAATTCGGGAACATTTCCATCACCCCAAAAAGAAACCCTGGACCCATTAGCAGCCATTCCTCCCTTTTCCCCAGGCCCTGGCAACCACTAACTTACTTTCTGTCTCTGTGGATTTGCCTATTCGGAGCAGTTCATATAAATGGAACCATATAGTATGTATTCTTGTTGTAGCGTAAATCAGTACTTCATTCTTTTTGTGGTCGAATAATATTCTATTGTCTGGATATGCCACAGTTTGTTTATCCGTTCATCAGTTGATGGATATTTGGTCTATTTCACTTAGTTAATTACAATTTAAGTAGCCACATGTGGCTAGCGGTTCCAGTATTAGCACAGAAGAGGTCAGAACACTCTGGGGTGGCCTTTGTAGGGGACTCTGCTCAGACGTGTCTGAGATATGGGACCCTCCTCAGCTCTGGTCTGGGGCAGCAAGTGCAGACAGAGCTCATCTGCCAGGCCCTGCTCAGTGCCCTCCCTGCCCGCCCCAGATCTGGACCACCTCAGGGAGGCTTGGCTTTAGACGCAGGAGAGGAGGGGCCTTAAGGGGAAGCCCAGAGTCCAGACAAGACGGAGCCCCATACCGCTTCTCCAACAGCATTCCCTAAGGGTGGGGAGTGGGGGTCGGAGCCCTCCTCCTTTCCTGGCTCAAGTCTGCAGCGCCTGCCCCACTCTCTGCCCCCAGATCCAGGAGAGCGAGCACATCAAGGTGGAGAACAGCGAGAATGGCAGTAGGCTCACCATCCTGGCCACGCGCCACGAACACTGTGGCTGCTACACTCTGGTGGTGGAGAACAAGCTGGGCAGCAGGCAGGCCCAGGTCAACCTCACTGTCGTGGGTGAGTCTGGGGACGGGGTGGCCTGGGGGTCAGAGGACACAGCAGGCAGAGGCCCCTAGCAGGACTGGGGGCCTCAGGGCTTCATCTCCCTGGGGCCTACTCCTTCGGCACCCTGCCCACAGCCTCTCACGCTCCCGTGTTCCCTCTCCCTGCCCCCTCTCTCTGGCAGGGCTTCATGCTTCTGGAGAAGCCCAGACCCTGCCGCCCACCCTACAGTGTTTTCCTGTTCCTATGAATCCCCTCCTGGCTTCTCTGTTTCAAGCCTTTGGAAACCCTGAGCTGCACTACTCCAGACCCATTCTTCCGGCACCTTCGCTCCCTGTCCCTGGGGTCCACTCCCTTCCCTCTCCCCCACCACTCAGTCCCCTTGCCAATCCTCGCCTTCAACTAGTGCTGCCTTCCACTGCCCTGCTCCTGCGCCTGGTTCTGGGGGCACCGTGGGCAGAAGATCACGACCTGCAGACTCAGTGCTGGGCTCTGCCGGTGTCCAGGTGGAGGCGTCAGTCGGCTCAGTGTCCTCCCTGAGTCTCTGTGATCGCTTGTCACCCTGCAGGCCCTGGCCTCTGGCTTCCCTGAGAAGTAGGAGGTGGCAGGCATGAACCTGCACCACTTCGTGTCCCGCACCTACAGGTGTCTGCATATCTGTGCCCCCCTCTCTCGTCTTCACCTGTCTGCTTCTCCCGTAAATGTTGCCAGGGCTCTGTCATCCCAGCCAAACGCATAGGAGCGTGTACGCCTGCAATATCCCGTCTTGCTCTGCCCGCCCCACCATCTCTCTCTTGCTGTCTTCATGGCCGTGCCCCCTGAAGGTGGCCAGTCTCCACTTTGATTCTGCTTCCTCGCCTCCCTGTGGCCTCCCTCCCACCCCCATGAGTCTGCTGGGACCACCCTTCTGAGGTCACTGTGACCTCCCAGTCCTACATCCACTCCTTTTTCTCACCTCCTGCAGTATGGAGTTGAGTCTCTCTCCAGACTGATTTTCCAAGTTCACTTCTTCCTCTCCATCCCAGTTACTGTTTTTCATGCCCTGGTGGACTCTCTCCTGAAATGTCAAAATACCTTGCTAACTGGTCCCACACTGTGGGTTGTGCTCAGCTCCTTGAGCCCTGACATGGCAGGTGCTCAGGACAGCAAAGGAACAGCAGAGGAAGGAGTGGGCAGATGGATAGCAGGCCGTGTCTCTGCGCATCTGTGGGCCGTCAGAGGTTGTGTGTGTGAAGGCCTTTGGCCTGATGGTTACTGATCTGATCGCCTTTCTTTTTCTGCTTTAGATCAGGAGTTTTAAATCTGGGAAGGCCAGTGTGCTAACAGGTCAGGGAACAGGTTTCTCATCTATAAAAAGACAGGAGACAACTTTTTCTCACTCTTTCTCTCTTTGATGACTCCGGATGTTCATTTCAATAATTCTCCCCCAGGAGTCAAGAACATTTGGGGGCTTGGGGCTAGTGACCCAGTTTGCCTACACATTTAGACGTGTACCTGAACTATTGATTTGGCCCTACGGCCCACCCGCCCCCCGTCAGCAAGCATTGGCTTCCAGTTCTCCTTGGTGTTCTCTTATCTGCCCCAGCTTGGGGAACCTGGGGGTCACCTCCTTTGAACTGCTCTTCTGTGACCAGTGCCCCCGCCCCCACTCTGGCTGGCCCCCCGCAGTGCCACCAGCTCCCCTCCCCCAGCACCACCGCGGGGCTGCAGTTCTGGCCTTTTATGGTTTCGTTTCTCATTCTCCTCGGCCAGTGCTGACAGGGCTATTGGCGTGGCTGCCCGCCAGCTGGCAGGAGCAGCATGTAAAATGCCGTCCTGGGAGGGGAATGGAATGGAGGGGAACGGGCTTTCTGTCTGTCTCCCCCTCATAGAGCTAAGAATAGAATTGCTCAATAAAAGGAGGACTTGCATTGATGGATCCCGCAAAGCCACATTCATTCAGAGCCCGTGGATTTAGCATTAGTCCAAAGTAAACCTGGATTAGGCCCAGATTTACCTGCGTGTCTCTAGGGGGCCTCTGTGCATGATCTGATCAGGGCTTATTAAGTAGATGTCAAATACAAAGGGGATGAGATAGGAATTGTTCGGGCTTCTCCAGGCACTTTTCAAGCACTTTGGAAGCATCCGTTTGCAGGCCGGCTAAATAAGGCCGACTTAACACAACTTCTGCTGGTTAGTAGTAAACCTCTCTTCTTGTCTGTCCTTTCAAATACCATTTTCTTTTCATCTAGGCTATGACTCCTATTTTTAAAATGGTAATAAAAAGTAGCCTTTCACTGGGTTAGTTTGAATGAGCAATGTTTAACTATTTTAAAGACTTACGGTTTAAAAGGCGGCACAGGAGTCTGTGATGTTCTGAGAGCCTAGGCCGACACCAGCCCTTCCTGCTCTGCGGGGGCGGGGGGCGTGGGGGGGGGAGGGAGGGGCCCCAGAGAGCAGCTAACCCAGATGCATTCCTTCCAGTAACTTGTCCAGCAGGAGAAAAACAGGTCACTTTGCATAGCTTTAAAGGACAAAAACAAAGTGGAGAGAATCTCCAAATACCCAGTAATCCCCAGCTACTATCGGAGCTTGGAACTCCCAGGATTTCTAAAGGCAGGAGATTTCCCTTTGTGATGCTTGGCGTGGGTTTCAGCAAGATGCTTCTTGATCTTATTCTGCCTGATAGCCTGTAAAAAAGCAGGCCCCTGGAACAAGGCTCTGGAGATGTTTTGGAGTCTCCTTTTGGCTCTGCCACTGGCTAGCTGGGTATTCTTAGCAAGCAAAGTGCCTTAGCTTTCAAGGGCCAGGATCATCCAGGTAGATGACCCTGGGGTGGGGGTGGGGCCGTCTCACACCTGCTGCCCTTCTCTAAAAGCTGCCCTGAGCTTAGATAGCAAGCACTGGCTTCCAGTTTTCCTTGGTGTTGAGGTGCAGTGAAGGGAGGTCCAGGTGGGCCACAGATACGACACACAGCACATGAGACCTCCAGTGAGAGGTAGTAGAGAGGAGAGCCTCCCATTTTCCCAGAACTGAACAGAAAATCCTGGGGCTGGTGCCATCAGAGACTTTTCCCTTAGACTCAGCGCTTCCCATTGTGACAGTCAAGTCTCCAGGGAGCCATGGGAGAATTCCAAGGCAGCCTGGAGCTTAGGGTTCTAGACACCGAGTCCACTTTGCCTTCACCGGGCCATGCCCAGGGTCCCCGTCCCAGCCCAAGTGCCTCTGTGTCGTTAGTGTGGCGGGGAGGCTCACAGGCCCCTGTTCTGAGGATGTTTGTTCTGTTCCAAGGGTTTCGGTCCCTGGCTGGCGCAGCCTCTGTGTGAGGCTCTTGTCAGTGGAAGAGTAGACCTACCCTAAGGGCAGGCCTGGGGGTGGGCGCTTCCAGGCCCCTAGACTTAGACTTGAACCTTGTCTGAACTCCTCAATTTGGAATCAAATTCCTTGAAAGCACTGAAGCTTCGCTAGGAATTATAAAGTCCCCCACCCCAAATTTTGCATCTTCTCTTGTGCTGCAGGGGGTGACATATATCATATGTCAGTCTTTCTGACCCTTTCAGCCAAGAGACATCTGGGGACAGGGTAGGGTACAAATAGCACCTCTTTTGCATTACCCATTTCTCAACGTTAGCTTCACCGACACAGAGAGGAGAAAAATCAGTCTGTGGAGTGTATGTGCGTTTGTCTTATAAACCTACATGACTCTAAACGTGTCCGATGAGACACTTCCCAGGCAGTTTTCCTGGGGGGAGCAGTGAGTCTGTCTTCCATCCCTCTCTGGGCTTTTTTAACTTCCTTAGCCGGGTCTTGAGAGGACTTGAAGCACTTGCCTCCACTGGAGTTGAGAGTAATAAACATCTTAGCCAACACCAGAAATATTTCTAAAAAGACCAATACATCTTTCAGAACAAATAGTTTTTCTAAGAGAACACTTTAAACAACCAGCGAAAGTGATTCCATCCCAGGAGGACTCCAGAGTGACTGCCAATGGTGAAAAGTAGCTCTGTCACAATCCCAGAAACACTCCACGCAAGGCCCAGGCTGGGCTTGCGCGGGGACGGGCGGGCGGTCTCCGGACAAGGCGTCCTCAGCCGGGAGGGAGAAGCCGCGGGGCCTGGGGGAGGGGTGAGAAGAAATACGTGTGTGCGTGCGTGTGTGTGAGTGTGGGTACACACGTACACAAGCCAACGGAATGTTTTTTTCCTCCCCTGTTTGCACAAAGTCATTTGCAAGAATTCTCTTTGGCTTTCCAACCTTGCCGAAGGGGGGGAGAGTAGGAGTCAAGTACTTTACCTGGGTTTGCTTCCTTGGGTGCTTACAAAACCCCTACAAGGTAGATGCATATTAGCACCATTGTCCCAATAAAAAGACTAACTGGAAGTTTGGAAATCTTGGAAGTTAAGGAATTCGCTCGAGGTCACATAGCTTATAAAATGACATAGCTTGAAAAGCATGGTTTTAATTGCTAGTTTGGGGAACTCTACACCTCAGACTGCCTTGGGGGGGTTGAGATGGAGGTTACTGAATACTGGTATCTGTAGCTAAATCAACCACCTCTAAAAACAAAATCTGAAAAACAGGAGAATTTTGTTCAGAGGAGCGACCGACAAAATCAGCAAAACCCGATCACCCCACTAAAGTCTAGGCTAGCGTGATTTGCCTTGAAGCCGGCAGCGTTACTGGCCTGACGAGGGAGGCAGCCAGCCAAAGGGGCTGCTTCTCGCTTGTGTCCTCCACTCATTTTCCAGCCCTTAGTCAGGGGTGGTTGTGATTTGCTGCTGTGGTTTGCTTTTGAAATTCTTTCTCATTTTATCCTGGTCCTATGGGAATAAAAGAGGTAGGGTAGAAGTAATGTTTTACATATTATAAAGTGAGAAGTAAACTCCTGCAGTAATGATAGTAATGACTATGCACACCAGCCACTTTTCTAGGAACTTCTCACAGCAGCCTTGTGATCCAGTTGCTAGTGTTATCCACATTGCTTACAGACAAGGAAACTGAGGCACAGAGAGGTTAACAAGTAGTGAAGGGAGACAGAGCCGTGTTCAAACCCAGATCTGTCTGACTTCAGAGCTCACTGTGCTATTCTGCCTCTCCGTGGGGCAGGCGTTCCCTAAGTCCCAGAGAAAGTGGAGACTGACCCTCGTTATGTCACAGGCCACTGGCCTAGGGCCTGACAGACACACACGCACACATTAGATTCTCTCTCAAAACATATTTTTGATGGGAAGCAGTCCACGCCTTCTGGGCAGCTTCCTAGGTCTGTTTACTCAGAGAAATATGTTTAGGACTGAGGCGAAGTACAGGAAATCATGACTTGTAGGCTGGAAAACTAGCCAAAAAAAAGAGGGTTTTTTTTTTTTTTTTTGAGCAGATAGGTATTTGTGGGGCTTTCTGCGTAGGTGTATTTGTGCACAGGTGTGACCGTGTAGGTGAGGAGAGGAGAGCCAGGACCAGGGCTGTCAGCTCGGGTTCTCTGGGCTTCTCCTCCAAGACAATGCTAATCTAGAAAGGTTCTTTCCCTGCAATTCTGAAGACGTGGGTGATGTGCTTCTCTGTCCCCAGACAAGCCAGACCCCCCAGCCGGCACGCCTTGCGCCTCTGACATCCGGAGCGCCTCGTTGACCCTGTCCTGGTATGGCTCCTCATATGATGGGGGCAGTGCTGTGCAGTCCTACAGTGTCGAGATCTGGGACTCGGTGGACAAAACGTGGAAGGAACTAGCCACATGCCGCAGCACCTCTTTTAACGTCCAGGACCTGCTGCCTGACCGAGAGTATAAATTCCGTGTGCGCGCCATCAACGTGTACGGAACCAGTGAGCCGAGCCAGGAGTCTGAACTCACAGCGGTGGGAGAAAAACCAGAGGGTAGGCTGCCTTCACTTTATTGCTGGCTTGAAATACGTGTGCATGGCTTACCTTGTGTATGTAGAAACCTGTACTGAGACGGGTACCGAGGACTGAGAAGACGTCAATGATGGCTGGCGGCGGCTTTGGGGATCTTGATTTCCAGGGTGGTGATGCTGATCTGTCCTTTGAAAGAAGTACCTATGACCCTTCCAAAGACATTGGGCCAGCAATTTTGGTACACTGCCACCAGGGGGCGATGGTGTGTTAATCAGGAGCGCAGTCCTGGCAGGCAGGCGCTCGGATGGACTTAAGTTTTGACTTCCCCCTGCACCCACCTCCCTCCTTCTCTTGCACTCCTATCTCACTGTCTACTCGGTGTCAAGTTCTTGGGACACAAAGACAGATTAGACAACTGGCTTAAAATTTAACTAGGAGGACAGCCAAGTAGACAGTAACTATAAGGAGATGGGATACATGTGATTATAGTGGTGTAAACAAAGAGAGGAGGAGGCACAGCAGAAAGCATGAGTAAGTTTGCCATGAAGGTGGAGGAAGGCTTCCTAGAGGAGGTGACACTTATGCGGAGTCTTGGGAAAAGGGATGGGCTTCCAAGAAGCAGGGAAGATAAGGAGAGGCATTCCCCACGGAGGAAGCAGCATGAGCGAAAGTGCAAAGTGATGGAAATGCATGGCATTTTGAGAAGCTTGTGTGTGGCCAGGGCATATGCTGTGTGAGACAGAATAGGAGGAAGCAACCCCGAAGGGCAGTTTAGGTAACATTGTGAAGTTCATCAAAGATTTCTGGGCAGGGGATTGTTATGATCACATCTGTTTTTTTAGAAAGAGAATTAGAGGAAGAATAGAGCTTTGCTAACCAAAGTGGGGTCTGGACCAGCAGTCTTGGGATCCCGGCACTTTCTGGAAATGCACACTCTCGGCCCCTCCACACCACTGGTCCTTTCTGAACCCTCACTTCAACTTGATCTACCCCCATGAATTCAGAAGTGTGACAGTTCGGGAAGCACCCAAGAAGAGCGGGGATGGCACTGGAGTCTGCGAGATACCAGTGGGACCTCTGTGCTGTAGGCCGGGCGAGGGATGGTCAGGGCATGAATGAAGGCCTTGGCAGGGAGAACTGACCATTCTCAGCGGCTTTTTGCATAGAGTTCAAGGAAAAATGAGAAGAGTTGAGGATGACTCCCACCCAGCTCCTGGCTTGAGTAACTGAACAGAAATTTTCTGTTTTGTTTTTTTTTAAATCCACTGCTTTTTTTTTTTTAAGATTTTTTAAAAATTTATTTATTTGAGAAAGAGAGAGCACACGCGAGAGAGAACATGAGCGGGGGCGGGTGGGGGAATAGAGAGACAGAGAAACAACCACCCCGCTGAGCAGGAATCCCAATGCAGGGCTGGATCCCAGGACCCTGAGATCATGACCTGAGCCGAAGGTAGACGCTTAACTGACTGAGCCACCCACAAACCCCTGAACACAAATTTAAGAGCCATTTATTTTTCCAGTTCTTGGTGGCTAATATATATCAAGCACTTGCTATGGGCTGACAGTGTGGTAAGCACTTTACCTGCATCATTTCATGCATCTAACTCAGTGAAGTAGCTGCCATTATTACCCCCATTTTACAGATAGGAGAAATGAGGTTTACAGGGGTGAAGCTACTTGCCCAAGATCACAGAGCATGTAATGTAAATGGCGAGCTGTCTGACCTGAAGCCTGTACTCCTTTGGGAGCCGTCAGGCTGCATCCCAGGGACTGGCAGTTAGGCAGCAGGGAGTCCCAGAGAAGACACAAGTTCTGGTTTCAGTCCTGGGTAATTGAGGTGACTGAAGGCGATCCAAGCGTCTTCAGACTACCGACCAGTTGATCTAGAGCTCAGGAGAGGGTTTAGGTTAGAGCTACAGAGCTGGGAATCTTCACTGTTGAGCTGATAATTGAAGCCATGGGCGTCAGTGAGGTCACCAAGAGGGTGGTAGGAAAGTCAGCGCGGATATCTGGAGACGGAAGGAAGGATGAGGGGGAGAGCACCAAGAGAAGCTGGAGCCGTGTGGAAGAAACACAGAAGGAGTGAGGTGCAGAGAGGGCTCAGGGAATAGCAGCTAGCTCTAAATACAGAAAGAGATGAGACTCAGGGCTAAAGCCCTTTGAGGCGCAGCCATCTTGGAGAGCGAGCGTTTCTGCAGGGTGGAAAATGGTTGCCCCAGGGGTAAGGAGTAAGTGGGAGAAGAAAAGGCCAAGAGTGTGGAATACTTTTTCAGGAAGTTTGATGTGAAGAGAGGCAAAAGGGTGCCATGAATTCAAGGTGGAGAAGAGATTGGGGGCAGGGAGGAGGGACGCCAAGGGAAAGGGCACCGGGAGAGGGAGAGCTTCAGGATGTGAGGCAGAGAGGAGAGGGGAGAGCAAAGGACAGGGCCAGTCTGAAGTCACCGCGGGACCAGAGGCATCATGAGTATGGGACGGCCATTACAGTTTGATGTCCTTCTTTGGTGAGAAAATCAGATATAAAATAGATATTAAAACCTTACTTTCATATTAAATGAGGGCTCCAGAAAGAAATTGGAGGATGCCAGTGGAAAACAGACCAGATTTACAATGTTGCGGGTGCAGCCCTGTCTTGGGGGCCTTTATCCAGCAAGCCCTGGTACGTGGGAGCCGTGGAGGCGTGGATCCCAGCCCCTGGGCCAGCCCCGCTGGGCCTCCTTGCGGCTGTCCTGGGCTCCTGGGCTCCCGGGCTCCTGCCCACTAGCTGCTCACAAATGTCTGCTGGGGAAGCGGGGTAACAAAACTGCCGTCTGCTGCCCTTTGACCCCCCCCCTTTGAAATGAGCAGATTGAGGAGTAGGCAGGTTAGCGCCAGGACAGGCTCTTAGTTTTATGTTTTTAGCTCCCCACCTCTCGAAAAGTGAGAAGGAAAGAGCTAACATGGCAGTGAGAAGATGTTCCTTAGCTGGAAGGGAAAGCTTCCAGGTCCTCTATGGAAGAAACCCGGAGAAACTGTAGAGGGCCTGATAAACCCCATGCCGAGGACTGGAGGCCGCGGGACTGGCAAGGTGTGGCTCCCAGGAGGCCCCGACAGCAGCTCCCAGGGCTGGAGGGAGAGTCTGTGGGGACCAGGGGCTAGGACCACCAGGCTCTGGGCAGGTGGCCCTTCCCTTTCTCCCTGCACCCTTCCTCCCTGCAGCCAAGCCAAACCCCTGTTGTGATCCTCAGACTCTCCTCCTAGGGCCCCTCCTGGCTGGGAGCAAACGAAAGGAAATGCAAAAATAGCCTGCCAGCCCGAGGAGGGGTCCAGGCCACCCAGGGCTTCCAGACTGGAAGCTGCTCCCACCTCCAGGCCCAACTGGATTACTGGGGAGGACAGAAGAGTTGCGGAGCATTAGGCCTGAGGGGCAGAGGATGGAGGGGGTCGGAGGGTGGGGTGGAGGGAGGTGGGGGTTCCAAGTGAAGCCCCCTGTGGACTGGTCAGATGCTTGTTAGTTATAACCTGGGGAGGGCATCTGTCTCTACTTTAAAAGGGAAATGGCTCGCAGAGAAGGGGGGTGTGGATGCACGCGTGTGTGAACTGCATGTGCGCACACATGCGTGTGCAGGTAGAGGAGGGATGAGAGAGGGGGTTATGGTGGCTCCTCTCTGTGGAGCCAGTGGTCTATGGTGGTCATCAAAACGGCAGTGCCAACAAACCCTCCCTCCACGAAGCCCAGCTAATGTCGGCTCTCACCTTCCCCACTGCCACCAGTATCCCTCCTGCCTGTGCCTTAGCAGCTGGGGTTTTCCGCTTCATCCTGACCTCCCCATTCTATCCCTGCTAAGCACCCCGTCCCCTACCCTACATTCACCCCTGCAATGTACCCTGCACCCCTCCTGTGTTTGGGCACTGTTCCGGGTGGTACAGGACAAAGCACGGTGTGTCCGCCCCCCACCCCACGTCTGCGGCCTCCTTATGCCATAGCCGCCCCTCACACTAGGATCCCTAACCCAGCTAGCTCCCCTCCCTGTCTCCCCAAACCTGGGTAAACAGAGCCACTGCCCCAGGACACCCATCTCTCCCATCCCAGCCAGGCCTTCATCTCTGCCCCACCCTACCCCTGCTCTGACTCTTCAGTCCATTCCATCCTTGCTCCTAATCCTAATTTGTTCTAGAATATATAGTTGTTAGCAAAACAGCTGGGAGAAAGGCTTTTTGCAGAGTTAAGGCTTCCTTGCAAGGCTGAGGGCAGTCAGAGATGCGGAGCCCCTGAGGGCTCTATAGAGATCAGCCTCCCTGGGCTGCTCAACCTGTCCAGGGCTACGGAGGCCTCTCTGGGGCTGGGGTGCCACCTAGTGCCCACTGGGCGTGCATCAGCCCTCGGCCGTGGAGAGCTCCGTCCAGGGGGCTGCCTAAGGCATGCCCTGTTAGGGTCCCAAGGGCTCATCTGGTCCTGTCCCAAACACTGTTCCAGGGGAATTTGCACAAATAGCTCAGAACCATCTTCCAAATAGTTCTTGTGCTTAGCTCGTGGATGTCCCAGCTCTTTCTGAATAGGTTTTTGAAACCTCTTGTTGAAGTCCCTCCTGCTGTAGTTCAGCTCCTTCTGTGGTGGAAAGATGGAAACCAAGGGGTCACCCCTCCCATTACTAAGCCCTTTATTCTTTTTTTTTTTTTTTTAAGATTTTATTTATTTATTTGACAGAGACACAGCGAGAGATGGAACACAAGCAGGGGGAGTGGGAGAGGGAGAAGCAGGCTTCCCGCTGAGCAGGGAGCCTGATGCGGGGCTCCATCCCAGGACCCCGGGATCATGACCTGAGCCGAAGGCAGACGCTTAACGACTGAGCCACCCGGGCGCCCAGCCCTTTATTTTGAAGGCTTGGCTCATTGAACTGTGGCCTTTCCCCAACTCCTACCCCGCTCCTCTCCTTGTGGCCACGTCTCCCTCCAAACAGAATGGAGGCAGAACGAGAAGGAAAAGGAAGAAGGAAAACCTCTCAGCCTAGAGTCTTGGTCTATTTCAAACAGAGGAAAAGTTGTGGTGGAACAGTGAGTCAGAAAGAGGGGCGTGACTTCCCTGAGAATGATCTAGGTCCCCATAACCATAGCATCAGGAGAGCCTTCTGCACCTTAATTGCCAAGGGAGAAAGGCAGAGGTGAAGGGCGGATGCAGTGTTGGCAGTAAGTACCAGAAGGCCAGCTCTGTAACTTCTAACGGGTGTGCAAGTCAGTGGGAGAGGCCAGTTCTAGAACTGCATGCCCCCTACAGGGCTGCCTGCAAGATGCCCCTGGGGGGCCAGGCCGTTGGAAAGCCCCATGGCTGGTGCCCCCTCCCTAGGGAAGTACAGACAGTTCCTCCTAAAGATGCCAGGCCTAGACCGCCTGCCTTCTACTTTCTCTCTCGGCCCGCTGCTCATTCCACACCAGGATGAGTGGCATGGGAACAAAAAGAAAAGGGGACACCTCATCGGGTGAACACTCTCCCGTATGGGGCCACCGTGGGCCCGGATGCTGGGCCTCCCCGACAGTAAAGGTTGCTATGATTGTTAGTATTTGGTCTCCAGGGCCCAGCCAGTGACAGCATCCTTCATGACAGACTTGAACCCCTTGCTTCCCTTAAAGCCCTGTCTGAAGTACCATTGTCGAACTGCCCTAAACCCCTGCTGACCCCTATATATCGTTCTCATGGTGCGTCTGGAGATGTGAGTTCCGTATGCCTTCAGCCTTCCTCCTGTGTGAGGCACCACACGAGATTGTTCTCTCAAGTTACGGCATTGATTAGTTGATAAAAGTCTGTAACCTTAATCTCACACTTGGCCATTGCGATTGTTAAAAAACCGTATCTGAGACCTGGGTGTCTCATTCGGTGGGGCGTCTGGCTCTTGATTTTGGCTCAGGTCATGATCTCAGGGTCCTGGGATCGAGCCCCGCATTGGGCTCTGCGCTGAAAGTAGAGCTTGCTTAAGACTCTCTCCCTCTCCCCCCCCAAAACAAAGCAAAACAAAACAAAACAAAACATCTCTGCTTTAGACCTTTTTCCCCAACCAGAGAGGCCTAACCTTGTCTGCTCATCTTCACATGGCAGCTCTTCTTATAGTGGCTTCCCATACCGCCACCAGCTCTGCTGTGACTTTTTAAGTGTTTACAGCCCTAGTTCAGCAGCAGACACCCCAGGCTCCGCTGAGGGCAGAGTAGTCATACCTGTTTGTGGCCAATGCACATTTCCCAGCGCCCCCCCCCGCCCTCCATGACAGCATTCTGTTGGCCAGAGCAGTAGGCTGAGGAACCGGGCTCTCCGCTCTCAAGTGTGTGATTTAGAAGACTTGATCAGTTAGGCTCATGTCCTGGTGTTATCTGTGAAACCCCCACCATTAATCTGACAGTTCCCGGGGCGCCTGGGTGGCTCAGTCGGTTAAGCGTCTGCCTTCGGCTCAGGTCATGATCCCAGGATCCTGGGATCGAGCCCCACATCGGGCCCCCTGCTCAGCGGGGAGCCTGCTTCTCCCTCTGCCCTCTTCCCTCTCGTGCTCTCTGTCTTTCATTCTCTCTCTCTCAAATAAATAAATAAAATCTTTAAAAAAAAAAATCTGAGAGTTCCCATCTCTCTTACCCTTTTTATTGTTCCAGGGCATTTGCCTTCCTTTGACAGAATATTCTTCCCCGTCCCACTTATGTTTAGTTTTTCATTTCTTCAACAGCATTTTAAGGATTCTAAACAAGGGGTACCTTGGTGGCTCCATCCATTCAGCTCAGGTCATGATCTCGGGGTCCTGGGATGGAGCCCTGAGTCAGGCTCCCCACTCGGCACAGAGTCTGCTTCTCCCTCTCCCTCTGCCGCTCCACCCTGCTCATGCTCTCTCTCTCTCTCAAATAAATAAAATCTTAAAAAAAACTAAAAAACTAAAAAAAAAAAAAAAAGGACTCTAAACAAATCATAGCCTCTCTTGCTCCTGGGAGACTTATCCATAGGTATGAGTGCTGTCCCTTATCACACCCTTTCCCCCAAGTCTTATTCACACGTGCACACACACACACACACACACACACACACACAAGCTCTTGTAAAATCTCTGTCCTCCCTCGCTGACTTTGCTCAGGTCTTTGTTCTGTCTCCTCAGGAAACCTGCCTTGTCTCCATCTGTCTGTGAAACATAGCCCACATCATGACTAAAGAGCACAAAGCACATCACAAAGCATGGCATCTAGGGCTAGCCAAGGACACTAGAAATCACTTAAAAATACAACTCCCTCCTTCTACCGATGAGGGAACTGGGACCCAGAAAGGGGAAGGCACTCAGCCAAGGTCAAGAAGCCATAGTGGCTCCATTGGGACAAAGCTAAGCTTAGGCAAAGGAAAGCCTGGAGCTCTGACGTGGGTGTGTTCGGATGGACACCTGACTGTCCCCTCACGCCTTTCCCCATTCACTTCAGACACATCCATGTGAGCAGCCAATGTGGGCTGCTCATGTCCCTTCTTGTCATACCTCTTAAACACCTGCTGGTTTCACTGTGTGGTTCACCCACCTCCACCTCCCCGTTGTATTCCGGTGTTTCCTTTAAGACACAATTCAAGGGCTACTTCTTCCCAGAATAATTGCTCTGACTTATAGTTGCCCTATTTTGTATCAACATCCTGCCTTGTATATTCAGTTTGTACTGCAATGTCATGTGCTTGATTATAGAACACTTGTAATGGGGATTTCAAGTATACGGAGTTCTGCCTCCCCAACTAAATATAAACTCCAAGAAAGGAGAGATCCTGCTTTCTGTGTACTTGTTGATATAACTATGATAACTTGCAAGATACCTGGTACATGTCTGGAACTCCACGTACCATTATCTAATCAAATGGATAAATAGGTTTGATGCTAGGAGCAATTTAAGTTGCTGACTTTTGAGTCGGAGCAGAAAGGGGCTGTCACAGTTTTGTGTAGGTTCTGAAAGTCGGAGAGCCTGGGAGCGCTGTGAAGAAGGGTATGTCTAGGGGGTCATGAGGTTACAGAGGAAGAGATGGAGGTGAGAGCTGGTGCAGAAGCTGCTGGATAGGGTGAGGAGGCCAGGGCCTGCCGGTGTGTCCACGGCCCTGCGGCAGTGTGGACTGACCCACTGCCTGGCCATTCCCAGTGCTCTGGGCTTTGTGGTCCTGGGCCTAGGAAGGCTGAGGTCTCCCGAGGCCCCCAGCATGTTTTGTTCTCGATGGGCTTTCGCTACTAATCGCTGTGTCCTCTGTGTCCCTCCCTGTCTCCCCCCAGAGCCGAAGGACGAAGTGGAGGTGTCAGATGATGGTGAGTGCTGGCCACCTGTCCTCACGTAGACTCGAGGGGTGGCGGGGGGCGAGAGAGGAATCTGATGGCTCACACCCACCCCACCCCTACCCTACAGATGAGAAGGAACCTGAGATCAACTACCGGAACGTGACCGTCAACACTGAACAAAAAGTGTCTGACTTCTATGACATCGAAGAGAGACTAGGCTCGTAAGTGGAACAGGGAGCATCTTTCGGACCCCAGGGTTGGGGTGGCACAGAGCCCATCATTAGATTCCACACCCTGTCTCCCCATCTTTTCCTGGGTTTTGCCAGCTTCCCACACTGAGACCCCCAGCAGGAAGAGGAGGTGCGGACCCAGTCAGCACCCCATGAGGGCATCCCCACCCAGGGCCCTCTTAGTTGCTGCTGGTGCAGCGCTGGCTCAGCTCCACGAGAGTCTTGAGCAAGCCCCTCCTTTCCCGTGCCTTCCAACCGCACGCACGAGCAAACGAGGCACCGGGGTCCGGGTCACCGGCAGGAGTCAGTCAAGCCTGAGCCATCTCACTGTTCAGCAGTCGTATCTTTCGCGCATCCATGAAGCCCACAGCCTTGAAAGGCACAGCTGCTCACCACTGCTCACTTTATGCACCTGGACCGCACTGTTGACTCTGGCTGTCCCCTGGAGGGCGGGCACCCCAACCTTGAGCCCTCGTCGGCCACAGTGTCCCCTCCAGCAGCAGCCCCCAGGGCTGTCTGTCTCCCCCTAACTATCCCTGGAGGAGCACATGGTGGAGGCCAAGGGGATGGGGCTCAGGTTTGATTTCCAGTAGGTTTCTGGGAAATAAAGGGGTGCCGCCAACCTCATCAGAGTTGAGTACAAGGAGACCGCACTGCCCGCAGGAGCTGGGTCAGAGGAACACCACCGCACTCCCCTCTCCCGCCGTGGACGGCAAGGGCCTTCCTCGGCTGTCTCCAGGCGACCAGTGCTGGACACTGGAGCAGAAGGAAGGCAACCACTCAGAAATTCTCTGTAGCTGGGGAGGACTTCCTCCACCCAACGTCATGGGTCTGTCTTTGGCGAAGGAGAGAGAAGTCCATCAGCCAAGACAGAGGCCTCAGCCCAAGGAAATGACAGCCCAGACGGAGTAGTGAGCCTGAGCAGCGATTGGGCAGGGATGCAGGTCAGGCACGGGCCGAGGTTGCCAGGTGAGGGAGAGTAAGGTTGTCTGGGTTAGAGGTGTACCTCAGGATCGAGAGCAGGGCTGGCCAACTTTTCTATAAAGGGCCGGGTGATGGATAGTTGAGGTTTCGGCGAAGCACAAAAGCAGCCATGGGTGAAATGCACACACATGGGCATGGCTGTGTTCCAATAACATTTTATTTACAAAAAGAGGTGGGCTAGATTTCTCCCGTAGGCCATCACTTGTCAGCCCCAATTTAATGGAAAGCTCGGCTAAATTTGCCTTTTCTCTCCTCCTCCTTTCATTCGCAGTGGGAAATTTGGACAGGTCTTTCGACTCGTAGAAAAGAAAACTAGAAAAATCTGGGCAGGGAAATTCTTCAAGGCATATTCCGCAAAAGAGAAAGAGAATATCCGGCAGGAGATCAGCATCATGAACTGCCTCCACCACCCCAAGCTGGTCCAGTGTGTGGATGCCTTCGAAGAAAAGGCCAACATTGTCATGGTCCTGGAGATGTGAGTGGTTTGCTATGGGCCTGGGAGCCCCTCACGCGTCTCCCCCACTGTCCACACCCAAGCCCCTACTGCCCCAAGATGGGGAGCACCACAGGTCAGGCTGCAGCGTGTAAGAGCCTCCCCAGCCCCGGTGGCTGGGGGGTGCCCCCTCAGAACGGCACATTGGTACACAGGAGCGGCCCTCACCCACTGACCACCAGCCCACTGCAGCCCCTTGCTCATTTCCATAGCAGATTGGCAGATCTCTGAGGACCCCTGCCCCCTTTTCACCCCCAACTCCCTGTGAAAGTGTCAAGGTTACCGCTAGGCTCCTCGGCTGCGTTCAAGGGCATTGACTTAGAGGTGGCTTTGGAGGAGAAAGAGAGGGACAGAGCAACTTCCTGAATGGCCTTCAAAAGAAGAGGGGCCCAGGACCGGGGGCTTGGGATGTGCGGGTGTAACCCTTGCTCCTGTCTCGGGCTGGGCTCTGCAGGCCCCCATCCCGTGCTTGTTTGTACTTTGACTTCTCACCAGAGGGTTGTGCTTTCTGGGCTGGCTTGTCCATGCACAGGGGCATGGATCAGAGGACCTCCAGCCAAGGCTTTCCTGGAATCCGCTGTTTCCTCCACTTGC